TAAATCAAACATAAGCAAGAGTCAAAACATAATTAAAAGCTAAGTATAATCTTCATGTGTTTTATCGATACTACCTAGAGTTCTACGATTTTTATCATAAACAGGATCTCAGCCTGACCTGGCCTGTCTGTTCTGGTCTAAAAGATATCAGGAGAAAAAAAACAGACTTGTTAATATCACAATATTATCTTAAACCAGTAATTTGATTAAAGAGATCTCCTCAAATATTAGTATCTTAAAATTATAAAGTAGATACATATTAAGGGTTAATGCAATTTGGAGCCAATCAAAATGCAGTAATCTCTTGTCCTTTTCCTTTTATTTTTGTATGTATTCCCAGATGGTCCAACTATTCCCAAAAGCTCACGGTATACTCTTGGGAAAATAAGCATGTAAGCCATTCTTTTAAATTACCTGCCACAACATATTCCACTGGCAAATAGGGCTAATACTGGGCTCAAAAAATATTCCAAAATATGGCACTTCAGCATGCAAAGCACTTTGCTCTAAAGGACACTGGAAAGCATCAGAAGCAGTCTCAGAACCAAGATCTCTCTCATCTTCTCCTGTCCTCCTGTCATTGGCCCTTCATTCTCCCCTAAAGCAAGTCATAGAAACCAGAATTTCTCCTCACCAAAGCAGGTAATAAAAACTAGAACTCTCTTCTCCAAAGCCAGCCATAAAAACTAGAATTACTACCCTAACCTTCCCCTCACCTTTCTGTCTAGGAAGTGGCCTAGACAGAAATTCTGTGTAGAAATTCTCTGACCCTGCTACCGTATCCAGTAGCAGGTCATAAGACCCTCATTCCAGAGGGGTCCTGTCCCATACCTTGGAGGAAAAAATATCACAAGACAGAAGCCAAGAAGAATCTGAACAGCCAGGTCTTGCTGAGTTTCTGCATGGAGTCTATTAGTATTAGATCATAATTTTTTTTGTCCAGTCCTATTTCTACATGGCGGTCCATTTTTCACTGAACCCAAGCATTAAAAAATGGATAGTTGTCTCTGTATCCTTTAGGGTCTTCATTCTGAAGGTTCCCGTGTCACGTAAAACTATGATTAAATACATTTGTTATGCTTTTGTTAACCTGTCTTTTGTTATAGGAGTGTTGGCCATAACCCTTATGATGGGGAGGAAAGGGATCATTCTCTTTCCACTACTATACTATCAAATATAAACAAGTAGTACTCTTATGATTCTTGTATTTTCTTACTGTTTTTACATAATGAAGAGAAAAAGGAGTTACTAACCCTGGGAAATTTACTATGCCAATGTAATCGTAGCTACTTTTAGAAGGTATCAAAATATTTGTAGAATTAAAGAATGTCACTGCTAACAGGAAACAAATTTGTATAGTATTAGTTGACACTTCTGTTGCTCCCAGGCAAGGCACATCAGAGGTGAGATTACCCTACAGATAACTTTTTTAAGAAAAGATAAATGTAACCTAGGTATTGTAATTTTCTAGACGACTTCTAAGTAACATAGGCATATTAATAATTTTCCATTTTTATAGCAGATTTAAATTTTTACATATTACATAATAAAATCTCTAAGGGAGCCAAGCATGAGACATTCCAAATAATTTCCAAACACATTTTGGCTATGAATACATTTTAATTTTACAGTCACTGAAATTTACACAGCTTAATAGGTCACAGCAGGTATAACGTTATTCTCACAAACAAAAGTTTAACATTAAGAACAATTCATATATTTTTGACACATCTGCTATATTCTTGTTGCAAAAACTAGACTGCATGAGTAAGGTTTTATTATATTATGCTTACATTTGAACTGGTTATCATAAAAGAGAAACATTATACTATAAAACTTCAGAGAAAAAGATATACATTAAAATAGCAACATCCTAAATTTACTTTATAATAGTTCCATTAAAGCAGCTCCATATAAATTTTAACATTTCTAAATGTTCTGTGCATGCTGAGTACATGCATATGAGTAAAATGCTAAGGAGAAAACAACATAATTGCCAAAATTTGTTTTATAAAAGGCATTCTGCCATCACATAACTTCACCATTTCTAGTGATCATCATACCCCCAGACCAAAGCATAAAGTTTAAGAAGGCCCTTCTAATACACACAGAAAGTCAACAACTTCCTTCAGACTAAGAAGAACAAATTCCAAACTAGAGCCCAGAATGAGAATGACCTGCCCAACGCCCTCTGAAAAAGATGTAAAAATTTCTTCCTAAATGGAGAGAATCACGTAAAGATTCATGTCTTCAATAAAACATCAACTAACTCAGAAAAAAAAATATGGCAAATTATACCTCAAATATTATATTAGACATTAGCAATATAAAAACAAATATCACTGTAAGTATCTTGTCTAGGAAGCAGTTAATCTTTCTGAAGAAATGCAGTAAGTCTGGGCACCCATTTTCAAAATTATTAAGGCCACTTTTGATTTAAACATTAATATTTATTATTTTCATTCAAAATGTTCAAGGTGAAATTGTTAACGTGTTTTTAATACATTAGTTTATAAGTAATAAGGTCTGAAAAACAATTTATAAAAATGGCTATATGTTGTTATGCTCAAAGTAAACCATAATTATTTTTCCCAGCTCACACCACGCCCTTTATCTGAGGGATTATTATAAAGCAACTAAAAACTCAATCACAATATAATGAAAATAATGTTAGCTGGCATAGGAGAGTGTTTTGAAGTGCTTTCTGAATACCTCAGTCTCACACTCAAATCAGGAGCATCTGTCCACCAACTGTCAAGATAACGTCTAGCCTAGGAGTTTTCCTCAATTCATCACTATTCATAGATGCCTGTCACTATTGAGAAAAAGAAGAAGAAAGAGCCATACTTTCAAAGCTATTTTCTTTTTCTATACGTCCTAGTAGAGGCAAATACAGAATTTATCACTTTGAAGCCAAAGTAGTCTGAATCAACTGCCCCTCCATCTCCAGATCTAAGAATGCAAGTTAAATGTTCTCTAAAAATTATAGATAATTCTAGTCTATAGCATATTCATACTTCTCACTTACATTACTACTGATTCAAGGATCTGATCCCTACGCTCAAAGCCTTTACACTTCACCATTACTTTCACAACCACAAAGTACAATCTAGCCACCAACCCCTATGGAAAATGGCACAATAAAGAATAGTGTTTTCACTGAGGCCAAGCACTGTGGTTCATGCATGTAATCTCAGCACTTTGGGAGGCCAAGGCAGAAGGGCATGAGGATATGACATGAGTTTGAGACTTGGGTAGAGCTCTTGCCTCTACAAAAATATGAAAAAAAAAATTAGCCAAGAATACTGGAGCCTGCCAGCAGTTCCAGCTGCTTGGGAGTCTGAGGTGAAAGATCACTTGAGCCCAGGAAGTAGAGGATACAGTGAGCCATAAAGCACTCCAGCCTGAGAGACAAAGTAACACCCTGTATCTCAAGAAAAAAAGGTGTTTTCATTGGCTTCATTTTAAATACTGCTGCAAAATTCAAGTTGAAGCTGTCTCTCTCAAGAAAATTCATTTAAAATGGAATTCTACAAAATTTGTATGCTTATTTTCTGAGTCAGATACATCAAATTTCATTTTATAACAAACATGAACAATCCTCAAATTACTCAGAAATGCTTTTCTGAGCCATTGTAACAATGCTGTGTGATACAGGAGGGAAGACAAGGCCCTCATCCCTGGGGTCCTCAAAAGAAAAAGTTACAGCAAATGTTAAACAAGATAATACAAGTCAGGCTGACATATGTAAAAATTGAGGAAAAAAAGAAAAAGCAATCCAGAGAAAGATAAGACTATCAGTGAGTGTGCAGTTGTACAATTTTCTACTTTACATACTAATTATAATTAGTTCAGTCAGTAATATCTCTATTTTTTGTTCCTTAAATCTACATACATTTGAGAACTATTATGTGAGTAAATCAGTAATCAAGACCAAAAACTGAGTATCAATAAAGAAGTTAGTTTCCAAAGGCATATTTTTTTCAACTGCAAAAGTACGGAATCTTTCTACATTATAAGACTTGTGGTGTCTTAATTATATATTTTTACAAAATTGAGTATAAAATAAACATCTCTAAGCTGAAAAACATCTTCTTATTGATTTCCATAATAATTTAAGAGAATGAATCTTAAGTTTTCATGTAAATATGACTTGCCATAGCACTTAATACAAATGCATCTGTCTTCTAAAATCCAGACCTACAAGTTCTAATTTTAGTTTCTGGAAAACTGCACTTTTAACAAGGATTAAAGGGGGTTCTAATAAGTGGACTATCGCCCTCCCTTTAAGAAACAGTAACTTAAAAGCTGAATTATCTCCTAGGAGAAGAAAGTGAATTTTAAATTAAAAATCCATTCTTAAATCATTCACATCTCTGGCCAACAAAATACTTATCAGGTTCTGAAGAAAACAAGATGAAGAAAAGGCAACTATTGTTAGAAGATATCTTACAATCTAGAAAGAAAAGCAAGTATACAAGAAACAAAAGTAGGATTGGGCACAGTGGCTCAGGCCTGTAATCCCAGAACTTTGGGAAGCTGAGGCAGGAGGATCACTTGAGGCCAGGAGTCCAAGACCAGCCTGGGCAACATAGCAAGACCTTGTCTAGACAAAAACAAACAAAAATTAAATTAGCCCGGCATGATGATGCATATCTGTAGTTCTACCTGCTTGGAGGTTCACCTGAGCCCAGGAGTTTGAGGACGCAGTGAGCTATGATAGGGCCACTGCATTCTAGTCTCAAAGACAGAGTAAGACCTTCTCTTTAAGGAAAAAAAAATTAAACTTCAGTAAGGGCAATAAGAAAATTCTGAAGAGTGCCAACAGAGTTTCAGAAGAAAGAATTTACTTTCAAATGGTGACAAGGGGAAGGCAAGATAAAAGAGGTAAAACTTGAGCTATAACTTGAAGGATTGATGGATAGGACTTCACCAGTGGCTAGAGTGAGTAAAGTATTCCAGAGGGGCACAGTGCTATCTGCAAAGGTGAAGGAAAAAAAAACACAATTCTCCAGAAATTTGTGACCAATCTAGCAGAATAACAGAGCACCAGAGCTCAGCCCTTTTTGTGTCTCTACTTCAGAGACAAGAATATACTCCAGCAGTAATACTGCTTGCTCACTGCACATGGAGATTTGCAAGGGCTAAGAGTAGGGGGACATGACCATCCAAATAATGTCCTTGTGACAACTAAGTAAGACAAAATATTATGTTTAAGATACTTACATTCCTTCTGAAGGTCACTTTGGCTACTTCAATATACAGTTCAAATATATTTAATTCTTCCAAAGCACTATTGCCAAGAAAAATTAGTGGCAATTGGTTTATATAATTTAGATGATTTAATGAAAAGAATACAGATGTCACAGCTGATTCAAAATAGACAGGCAATATGTAAGTTATTACAATTTTCAAAGTAATAGCTAAAAGTACACACAGAAACGTGGTTATTCACTCATTTTTCTGGCACTTTGAAGCCTAGGAAAGCTGCTGACCTTTTTAAGAGGTTAGTTCTCATAAAGGCCTAGTACAGCCGGATCTGGAATTTAATACCTCCAACATTAATGTCTAGTATGCTAGGGTGCTACTCATCTTTTCAAGTCTGTTTTAATTATTTTGTTGCTGGGCATTATAACGGATCTTAAGTTTGATAAACTTGGAGTTTCATCTGGAGGATAACCCACACCCCAATATGTAAGCCATATCCATTTCAAGTACTTATGAAAGGTAAATAACAGAGCAAGATTGATTATATAAGTATTAGGGGATATATAAGTAAATTCCAGTGGTAAAATCTGAAAAATTATCTGGAAGAGTCAGGTGTCTTTTAACCTACGGGAAAAAAAATAGGTTAATATAATTTGACCTACTTACTAAATATGTTTTACACCTATAACGTGAACTCAACGCAGAGAACAACTTAAAATATGGCAAATATTTAATATGGTTGTTTAGTAATATTTAAGTTCAGTTTCTGTAACTTACAACAGTAAATTCTCTTTTTTTTTTTTTCTTTTCTTTTTTTCTTTTTTTCTTTTTTTTTTGAGACGGAGTTTCGCTCTTGTTACCCAGGCTGGAGTGCAATGGCGCGATCTCGGCTCACCGCAACCTCCGCCTCCTGGGTTCAGGCAATTCTCCTGCCTCAGCCTCCTGAGTAGCTGGGATTACAGGCACGCGCCACCATGCCCAGCTAATGTTTTGTATTTTTAGTAGAGACGGGGTTTCACCATGTTGACCAGGATGGTCTCGATCCTCGTGATCCACCCGCCTCAGCCTCCCAAAGTGCTGGGATTACAGGCTTGAGCCACCGCGCCCGGCACAGCAGTAAATTCTCAAAATAAGTTACCAATTTTCCTGAAAATCTTGTCTGTGGTTGTTCAACTTATCAACCATCATTCTTGTTTTCAACGCAAGAGAAAGCTCTCTATCTATGAATAGGCACTCAGTCTCACCACCATGAAAGTTGTCAAAACAACAGGAAGAAAAATGGACCAAGGATATATAAAGCTGAAAATGGGTCAGAATGCTCAAATTAAGAGTCAAATTTATGTTTTTGTCTTTTTTTCTTGCAAGCCAGGGCATCCTCATGAAAAAGCAGGTAAGAATTTGGCAAGAATAGGGATTGAAAGCCAAAAGGAACTTGTTTTCCCCAAACATCTGGCATCCTTCAGCACACTCTAGCAATGAAAAGTCAAAGCAAAGCAGGTAGGATTCTGCCAATCACCTCCTTTTGAGGCAGCTGCAATAGGTAAGCTAGCCAAGGCTCCCTGCCTGAGCTGAGAAGAAAGATGTCAGTATTGTGGTAAAGCCTACCTCCTTGGTCTTCAACAGATTCCTTCCATACCCCCAGGTTATGACAGAAAATGAGCAATTCACACAAGCATAAATGTGAAACATTAACATTTAAAAGGAGCATAATCTACATAATAAGTCCTGAGGCTGAACACACATTGTGGGTCAAAGTCAGGACAAGGCAGCTCACCACCGCAATTGTTAAGGGAAGAAAAATAAGGGGCAGACAAATGACAACATTTAATCCTAGGGTCAGTCTTAATAAATCAGCCTACTACCAAAAGTAAATTAGCTGACTGACTGACTGAGACAGAGTCTTGCTCTGTGGCCCAGGCTGGAGTGCAGCAGGACAGTCTCAGCTCAACACAGTCTTGATCTCTTGGCTCACGCAATCCTCCCAAGTAGCTGGGACTTCAGGCATGCACTAGCATGCGTAGCTAATTTTGTTCATTTTTTGTGGAGACAGGGTCTTGCTATGTTACCCAGGCTGGTCTAGAATTCCTGGCCTGAAATGATCCTCCCACCTAACCTCCCAAAGTGGCAGGATTACAGGTATGAGCCACTGTGCCCAGCCCAAAAAGGTTATTATTATTATTAGGACTCTTGCCCGTCACTGTAATTTATAGGGTGACACTGCAAAATTGAAAGCCCTATTCTTCTTGCAACAATAACTTGGAGTATTTAGAACTCATGAAACCAAGTTTCACATCCTCTTTCTTAAGTCTACAGAAAAGGAACCTCCACCCTTATTCTAGCAAAGGAGAAAAAAAAAAAGAGAACCAAGAAAATAAAGCATCATAACTATTTTGTAAGTATCAAACTAAAAAATTTAATAGATATAATCCAAGTAGTTTTTAAAAAGATAATTATAATATTGATTTGTTAGGCATAGAGGGATGCTGACATTTTATAAGAACTCACCTAACTATAGAGCACTCAGCTACATCTCTCAAAAGTTAAGTGAAAGCCATCCTAAGAGCCTGATGTAGTATATGCTGTAGTCCTATGACACTAACAGGTTAATGCAAACTTCATACAACTTAAAGACTAAAACTACCAACTTTCTAAACAACTTACAGTGTACATTAACACGGTTTGACTATTCAGGGAGCCTCACTCTGGCAAAAGGTTTGATTGATCATTACAGCAAATTCCTGAAACATGCATCAACTATTCAGCAGAAAGTGCCAACAGTTTGTAAGAGTCTTTGAATCCCCTGTTATTGCATAATGGTCCTTATCCAATCCACACACACACACACACACACACACAAATTGACTCACCCTTAACCAAACCAATCAGTACATACTATCCTTGCATTCTTCCCTCCAAGACACTGCCGAAGTTCTAACCAGGTGGTGTTCTCCCTTTCTGTGACAGGCAATAAACTATCTATAGACTGTAAGGGAGACACTTGGGCAGCCAGTACTTGATACTATGCCAATTTTAAGTTTTAATCATTCAGGAATATAATTCAAGGGGCTCTTGTGAACTTACAGCATGCTAATGCATCATACTAGCAATTGTGAATTTAGATCAGAAAACTTTTTTTTCACCTAAAACTTTATGAGAGCAGATAGGACCAGAAAGGCAATCACAATGCTTCTGCAGAAAAACTGTTCTGGTCATACACTGTCAGTTCATCAAGATTTCAAAGAATAACCACTGGAAAGAAAATTTTCAAAAATCTGAAGCCTTAATAAAGCTAATATCAGTGAGTTTTAAAGTACATATCACTAAAAGCACAAACTCATTTACAGTCTACGGACTCTAATGCAAGAGTCATATGCCAGACATCCCAGAAGAGGAAAAGAGTTTTTAGAGACAAAAAGACTTCAGGGAAATTTCGTTTTTCCTGAGAGAGAGGAGTCTGCTGAGACCAGCTCGATGGTGGAGACCCCAACCCAGGTAGCAGTGATGGAATTAAGAGTCAGACATAGAAATAGAGTGCAAAGGTGGGAATCCAGGGGCTGACAGCTTTCCCAGCTGAGAGCCCAGAGCAGGCTCTGACCCACGTATTTACTCTTTGCATTCCAGTGATAAGTTTAATAAGCGGATGCTCTATGTTCTTTCATTGATTAAAGGTAAACTAGCCAGGCAGCTAGTGTATGTTCACTATAGGTTAAAGATAAATCAGAAAGCATTCTTTATGAGGGAACAATGGAGGCAGAGTCACATATCCTGTGTTCAAAGAACTAGTTCATCTGGTGTGAGACATATCCATATTGTTTACTGTTTTAGAACGCCCTGAGCAGTTTTCCGCTTTAGGGGCTGGTTCGGTTTTCCTTGCCACAGCTCTCAGCAAGCAATATAATTCATCACACACATCAGGATTTGTTCTCAGCAGGAGTCCTAGATGGAGTCACATGGCCCTCCAATACGAAGGCATTAGATAGCATATCAAGAACTGATAAAAAGTCAAGAAGGAATAGCCAATGAGTTAGGAGAAACCAAGATAGGGTTTCAAGAACTGAGTTGCTACTTGTGCTGAATGGTATTAACAGATGGAGAAACAGAAAGAGAAAAATGTTCACGTGAATGTCAATTATTTTTACTAGACTCTTCAGAGGAGTAAGAAATGCAAATAAACTAGAGTTTAGAGCAGAAAATTAATACAAGGTGAGAATACGTAAAATGCCAGTGTGGACAAAGCATTCAATAAATCTTATTAAAGGGTATGCAGAAATAGAGGCAGTGGTGGAATGGCAAGTACTATGTGTCAGCAGAGGGTTTTTCTTTTTAGAATGGAAGATATTATTGCATGTTTATATGCTGATGTGAATGATAAAGCAGTGAGGGAGAGACTGGTAATACAAGAGAGGGAATGATTAAAGTTGAGATTTTGAAAATTAAAAGGATGGAATTCAAAATACAAGTCAAAATAAGAGCATGTGTACTCAGTTTAAAGCATGAGAATATGGTGAGAACATAAATTGGTACAACCTTTCCAGAAACAAAATCAAGTGCCTCAGAGACATGAAAGTAACCATATCCTTTGAGCCAGTAATTTGACTTGTAAAAATCTACCTTAAAAAAAAAATCTGGGCCGGGCGCGGTGGCTCAAGCCTGTAATCCCAGCACTTTGGGAGGCCGAGGCGGGTGGATCACGAGGTCAAGAGATCGAGACCATCCTGGTCAACACGGTGAAACCCCGTCTCTACTAAAACTACAAAAAAAAAATTAGCTGGGCATGGTGGCACGTGCCTGTAATCCCAGCTACTCAGGAGACTGAGGCAGGAGAATTGCCTGAACCCAGGAGGCGGAGGTTGCGGTGAGCCGAGATCGCGCCATTGCACTCCAGCCTGGGTAACAAGAGTGAAACTCCGTCTCAAAAAAAAAAAAAAAAAAAAAATCTGAAATCTATCTTAACTGTCTAATGATCATGGAGAACTGTTAGGTAAATAATTGTAAAATGCATATTAAAAGTCTATAATGATATGGGAAAATGTTTATAATATTAAGAGAAAAAAGCAAGATACAAAATTCCAAATGCTGGATTTTTAATATATAAAAATATATGCATAGACAAAAGATGAAGGAAACATAAAATATTAGTAACATCTCTGGACAGTAAGTTAGAGATTATAATGTTCTTCTTTATGTATATATTTTCCCTAATGAAATTGGTCATTTTATTACCAAAATAATTTACTTTCATCTTGCCTGTATTTTCCAAGTCTCTCTACTGACACCTTCCTAACAGCTTTAAATATTTGTATATTTCAGAAATAAAATTGTGATAGTGGCAGGAGGCAGACAAATTCCCAGGCAGATAGGCACTGGTTGTTCCCAGTGAAACCCAACCTTCTGGTAACACACAGCGTGAAGCCTGAAAACCCAGCTAGCAGTGCCAGGTGGAGTCCACAACTTGGAGTGAGAATTCCCTTTATGCCTTCAGCCAATCAAATGGTGCTTTTTCCAGGCCCACCCATAGGCCAATCAGCATGCACTTCCGCCATTCTAAACCCATACAAACCCCCAGCTTCAGCTGGACTCAAACACAAGTCAGGATTACCCACCTGAGAGTAGGAGCTACCTACCCAATCTGGGTCTCCTCTTTGCTGATCTGTTCTGCTGCCGCTCAATAAAACTTCACCTTGCTCACCCTCCAGTTGTCCACCGAACCTCATTCTTCCTGGAAGAAGGACCAGAACTCGGGACCCACCCAACACTGGGCGTGAAAAGGGCTACAACGCGTTCCTGGCCAGCTCACCAAGCTGTGGGTGGTGACATGCTCCCACTCGCCTGACTGTAGAAGTGAAGAACAGTGACCCTTCTAAGTGCCCAGACCTCATGATTTCCCAAGCCAGAGCTGTAACACAGCCAGACTGGACAGCTGCCCCATGTGACAGGAAATGGCAGTTGTGCTGGGCCAGCCTGGGAGCTGGAGTGAGGTGATAGGACTGAACATGCTGAAACATGCTCCCCCTGCTCACCAACCTGTGGATGGCAAGAGAGAGAGAGCACACCTCACCCACTCCTTGGGGCTCTGCAGTTGCTGGTGTCCCCAAGGTTTTGGGTGCCACCTCATTCCCCTCTTCCAGACACCGGCACCTGCAGTGAAAGCTGCTTGTGTAGGCCTGGTCCAACTGCAGCCTGGCAGGGAGCCAGTGCCTGTGCCAGCACCCAGAGCTGCCCACCCCACCACAGCAGCCAGCAAACCTGGCTATGCACTATGGCCGGACCGTGCACTAGCTCTCTCACACACCCATCACTGCTCTGCACCTGGCTTGCCCTCGGCAGGCATGGGATCCAGGTTGGGCAAGCTGCCAGGCCAAGTGGGTGGAACAAGCACAGTGGGCATGAGTGAAACTCAAGCAGGATGCCACCAGCCACAAAGGTTCCTGGCTGGCGAAGTGAACCTGATGGATCCCGTGACATTTTGATTATTTCTGCTCAGAGCAAAAAATCTTATATGTAAGTATCTACCACAAGCCAAAATGAAAGCAAAAAAATATATAAGCCTGCTGTAGATCTATATTACGTTGCTGTAGCAGTTCACGTTTTCTACCATCCATACTTTTAAGATAAATGGCATGCAGTATCACCAATAATAAGGCAATAGAGAACAAATAATCTACAAGAATTTAGAAAACACTTGCTTTGATATACAACAAGAACTAAGGGGCAAGAAGAGGAGGTAACAAGGAAGCTCTGAGTCACTCTTATTTGATGGTCTCAGTAGAGCAACAGTAACTAGGATGAGCCAAGTTGTCCTCTACGCACATACTGAGGCCAACCTGAAAGAAGGAAGTACATAGCTGCAGACTTGGAAACTAGCTACCGCAGGTATTTAAAAATCAATAGAGAGATTATTTTTTAAATACTCTTTATCCAAAAAGAGTGTTCTGTGAAGACAAATAGAAG